TGGAGTACGACGAAATTAAAAGCAGAGAGGAAAGAGGCAGTCAAGAATGTAATACGGAAGCAGCGCAGTGATGTCACGAAGTCTCAGATGAAAGAAAGGACGCAGTGCATTACCTTTGCAGTCGGGGACCAAGTGAAGTGTAGAGACAGGAGATATACAGTTGGAGGCGGGCTAGGTTCACGGAAACTCCTTCCAAAGTGGGAAGGACCATACACAATCACAAAAAGACGGGGTCAAGTATATACCATCCGAAGAGGTGATAAACAGAAACGAGTTAACGCCAGTCAGCTCCAAAGATGGGTACAGTGGGACAAGCCGGTCAGTAACAATCCTCAACTAGAGGATGTAGCACCCAGAAGGTCGGAACGTCTGCGCACAAAGCTATTTGACGGGGGGACGAGTGTGGTGAGAGCAGGCTGCTAGCCGATTGGTTGGCACTAATCTACGTTAATGTCTAGGTCACTAATATGGGCCGTGAGAAAATATGAACAAGGCTGTTTCAACAACCAATCACAGCAAACTTAAATGTGGACAAATATGATTCGCAGATAGATGGCTCTACTTTCCGAGAAATATCGAAAACAACCAATCATAAGACTGTGTTTGTCTGCTTAACTTCCGAGAAACAACCAATCAGAAGACTGCCTTTTTCTGCTTGCATAAGCCTTATTAATGCACATAAAATATATATAAATACGTGTTGATTTTCGTAATAAAACGATCTGTTGACAGCCCTTGTCTTCTGTTGTTACACCAGTAGATATTCTAATTGAAATTCCAACAGTGAAGGAATAAACTAGAATTTAGGCATTTCTTATTTTTATCACATTAATAATTTACTATATCATAATTGCCTTTGTTGCGGTTTGCATCAGAAGTAGTAATTTAACGATTGAGGTTTTATTGATATAACCGTAGAACTTTAACTCTTATTATTATGGTCTTCCCTTTAGGTTCCGAGTGGAACATAGATCTTCAGCTGTGCATCTCCACTTTGTTCTATTTCCTGCACTCCCCTCTACCTGGCCCCACAACTTCGCGTAGTCTCTCATCCACTCCATCTCACCCTCAGATCATTAACCACTCCGGTTCGACTCGAGGGCTTGAAGTGCTCCATTATTCGAAAGTTTGCTCAACGCATTTCTAATCCATCTTTATTTTCTTCGACATATTTGTTGACTGACAGGTTCCTGGTTGATTTGTCTCCAGAGTTCCTTTTTGGTGATTCTTTCTGACCCTCAATCTGATATCAATATTGAGCCGGTGATGGCATTTGTCGATGAAAGTCTGTAATCTGTCTGTCTGACTGTTTTCGACATAGAACTTTGCACAAATGTGCGGAAGTTCAAGTCGCCACACTCCGTGTAGCACGCGAAGCAAGAGAAGAAAGTACAAGAAAAGCATAATAGAAACAGTGAGCAGAGGTGTGAGACAAAGGAGGAGTAATAACGAAGAACAAAACAGTTTCATTGGAGATCATAAGTCACAAGGAGTGGATCCATCTGGGCCACTGAGAACGATTTTGAGCCATGTCACCAATTGTTTCCAACCGCAGATTTTTACCGTCCCGAGGACCTCAGCCTGGAAGTCTACACCTTCCTACATGGCTTAGACCAACTGTTGTGGATTTCATTGACTGGTGCCAAGTTTTTGTTTGACCGCCGCTAGCTTTTTTCCAGCCTGACCCTATATCCGCTAACATTGCTCGTCGAGGGAGGCGATGGCTTGGCATACGTAACACATGTCCTAACCATCTCAGTCTTTGTAACTTCACGACTTCGTCGATTGATCTCCCCTGTTTACCTAGAACTCTACGCCTAACCTCAGTGTTGCTCACCTTATTATGCCACTTTGTCTGTAATACATTGTAAATATTTTTCATGACTCCAACGTCAAGTTTCTAAACTATAAGGAAGAAATGACTGCCTTAACATTAATGTCAAAAATCCGAATCTTATTCTCTATGCTGAGTGCAAAATATTTCAAACCTGACTTTGGAGTGATTAATGCCTCCCTCATTTTTCTGTCTATGTTGGTTTTAGTGTTCTCATTTGTCTGTCTCCTATAGTCAAAACGATACTCCCTATATAGGAGAAAGAACTATCCCTTTTCAAAATTCTTCTCTTATCAGTGATTGGTACTTGTTGTTGTTCAGGTTGGTCGGTTAACTTCATCGTCTCTGTCAGTCGTACACTCAGTTGGAGATCTGTCTTTGCTACTTCTTCTGCCAACTAGTTATTTTTCACCCGTATTTCTTCAAGTTCACATGCCATTAGACATAGATAGTCCGCAAACTCCAGATTTTCAACAGTGTTCTTAACGGTCCTACGTATTCCTGGCTTCTTGCTTGTTACAATTTACAGCATTATCGACTCGACCACAATCAGGAAAACCAACGATGATAGTAATAAACGAAAGTCTAAATTAAGTAAAATACTGTGATGGGGTGTTAAATTACAAGAATGAAATGGTAATGATTTCCATATTGTTATGTTTTATCAGATATGATTGGAGTGAGACGTAAAGCATCATTGTAGGCTGAAATCTGTTCAGATAGTATGAGCTAACACACAGCGTACCAGTATTCCCCTTGAAGTTAGGGTTAAACTGGAATTACTTTGAATGAACCACATTTTTACTCAGTAATGACTTGTAAGTTCCCACGTATACTCAACTTTTCCTTAATCACAATGAAATCTGATATTTGAGTGTTGGTTTGTAGGGATTTGGTTGGTTACAGGGTTTCGTCCTATTTTGGGACTCTTCATCAGTACGCACCTACAGGGGTTCGAACCCAGGGCCTTGTGGTTACATGTTATACGAGCTCACCTTGTAACTAGAAGGTCCTGGGTTTGAACCTCGGTGGGTGCGTACTGATGAGGAGTCCCAAACTAGGACGGAACAGCTATCCAGTACTCCCTGTTGGTTCTCCAATGGTTCTCTGACCAATGTCAGCTCACGCTGAAATCCCATAAGAAATCTGATACACATGATTTCCAGAATAATAGAAGTTAATATTTTGAGAAATGGTTAGACAAACTGATTGTTAATTCCTTTCCTACATGTTCATTCTCAATCTTTCCTTAGTTCAACATTATACTACTTGCCATTAGTAAGCAGTAAGATTTTTATACGTTAATTTATACCAATGACATTTACAACTGCAGTTAACTTACTTGTTCTATTATCATTCTATTAATGTGAAAGAGGCTACAGTCAGTTTCAAGGTCATGATGAGTTCCTGCGTCTGCTGGTTATATGTTTTCGTGAATTCGATTTCCATTGAATTTTAAAGGTGTTTTTGCATGTTTTTCTCATTTTGCAGTGTGTAGATCAGTTTATGTCACTGGATACTACTATTAAGGTGAATTTTAGCCTATAGTTCCCAGTTTTTATGTTGGTAGTCAAGGGTTATGGTGAACCTGCAATGATTCAGGCAAATAAGGTATACTTTTCTAATATATTAACCTTATTCAATAAGTAAACTGCTTAACCGTTCTGCTATTGTTTGAGATTAAAACTAAGAGCTAGTTTCTTATCATGATTGAAAGTAAATGGAACCGACTGGGTTTGCTTATCCGCTCTGTTCCATCCCTCACAGGACAAATTAGGCTCGGACTAGCGTTATTTCAGAACTAAAAGACTCAATTCAGCACCTAGGTATCATTGTAAGCATGACCAGCGTTATTTGAGAAAATAGTGGGCAAATAAGAGCTTCAGTTACCATAAAAGGGCCTTATCGATGAATAGTTTAGAATAAGTTTGTGAATATAGTAGGCTTGGTGGTGTTGCGGTCTAAGTGATAAATTGTATTAATCACCGTTATTCAGGATATGCTATGAACCGCAAATGCTCGGCTGAAAAACGTAGTAAATAAGGCACAGATCGTTTTAATTTCTAAGTGACTTTCAAAGCGCTCTTTTAACGAAACAATCAACCAAAGTATTCTTTAAACTGTCGGTCTTAGCCTTTTGAAAGGAAAGGAAGTGTAACAGCAGTTTATTCATACATGTTTATATTCTGAATACAAATGGAAATAAAAATGTAATACAAATATTTTCACAAAAATAATCGATTAACAGGGGCACGTCGTAATCTTAAAGTTGTTTGCGGTTCATTTGCTAGCAAACTGTCCAACCTTCTGGTAAACTCCGCTATTTCCCGCAGTGCAGCATCCGAATTTCTTCGGTTCAGACTGTTGAGACGATATCTTAAACGTTCATAAGCATTTCGAAACGCGTTGTTTGGTTCCGGCATTAACCGGATGGCCCTCGGAATGTTGTCCGTTGTGTTATATAGACGTGTCCACCTCTCACTATTCCTCAGAATATCTAAAAGTAACATTTAAAGAAATGGAACATACCACAATTTAGATATGAGTTCAAGAACGCCTCAACGACATGTGCACAAGGCAAATTGTATGCGCAGTATGTCCAACATGTGCATTTCGCCTCGTTCCTGTTTACGAAGAATATGTGACCACCTTCTGCGTAAACAACTGAGGTAGAAGATATTGAATGGAAGAAGAAGGAACGCCTTTGTAAATCTAACACAACTTTCTGGGCAGCAAACGGTGTGAGACTCCGTAAATGAGACTTCAGGGAATTAGGTACCTGGGATAAAACGGAAATTATCTTCGAACTTACATCGTAATTGTAGTATTTAGCAAGCATCCACTGGCCCTGACGTATTTTACGCATGGTTGTGTGGTCGATCCACCTCCATATTTTCCATAGCGTCAGTTCCATAGGATCACCTTTACGTAGACATCTTTTCAACTGCCTATGAGCATTCTCAACTCTGTTGTTAGTATTGTTCCCCATACTGATAGTGAACCTGTTGCACGATGCAGCCCAATATTTGCGTGTTCTTAGCCAGTACCTTCTAATGTAAGCACCAGCCTCAGCGTCTACAATACTTATGAGGTTTAGGTAACGCCAAAACCTTTGGCAATATACTCTGATTTGCTAACCTACCTGTCATAACCGCGCGTGTGCGCCATTCGATACAACCACTTTTTAACAAGCTGATTTGGGAACTGTTTTCCCTATGTCAGTTAATGGGAATGTAACTTACCTTCCTTCTGAATGCCTGGCATACATGGAAAAGACACAAAACAATATTGCAACTAGGGAATTCCTCCTTTAGGGCGTTCATCTGTGCAGTTGCACAGTCGACAGTGAATGTTAATGTTTTCGATGTATCCACCATAAATCTCTTAAACGTTTGCAATATCTCCTTGAAATCTGCAAACGTTTCTCTCCTAGTAAGAGCAAACAAAACAGTCCTTCCTCTTCCGAATCCATCAGTCACAACAAACTGATATAAAGGCCATCTGTAACAAATTCGGAAAAGGAATTATACCTTGTTGTACTGAAACTTACCCCATCTTATTCGTTTTGTAAGTACAATCGATTCCAACTACTTCTGGAAACTTATGATACACGTCTATCATATCATCACGAGCAAAAATGATTTTATATACAAAGCCTGCGTTGTCCTGCAAAACTTTAACTGGACCTGTCTGCCTCAGTCGATAAAGCAGCTCTTCCAAACAACCAATTTCTATTCTACTGCGCCATTTATTTTGATAGGACTTACGTTTATTTATCTTAGCCCGCATGTTTTTAATATCGTTATACAGGAGCGCTTTTCCGAACTTCTCATGTGCTAGATCCATGATTTCATGGACATCAGTATTCCTTTCAATGAACGGTTGGATAATTGCCATTTCTCGTGATGATAACCGACGTCTAGATACATCGGTGGACATAAAACTTGCTGTGCAGGGATGGTTATGCACAGTTTTGTACTTGGTTATCATGTATACGTTGGATTTCCGCTGGACTAGAATTATTAACTGACATGATGTACTTTTGAACCTTAAAATTTTTAAAATTTGCACACGCAGCCAACTTACCCTCTGTTCCTAAAGCCAGCACCTCGGGGAGCACGATGATTTCCTAAAGTGCATTTAAACTTCACAAACTTGTAGTCATCAGCACCGGATGGATCTTTTTTACTTGAATCAACACGATAGGATGTATTGGATTCCTTTCAAAGAAATAAAGAACAACTTAGTTAGTACCTTCATAAATGTGTCTAAAGCTTCCTTAAATTGTGTCCATGTATAAAATATACAACACAACATTATCCTTTGGAATATAGCTGTTACATCACACAATAAAGATGATATATTTCTTGAATTAGACGCAGTAGGAGTACTTTGTAACATCATTTAATCGTTTTAACAATTTCTAACGTGCACAACACTATGACTTCAAGTAAATAAACACTAGTATATACTTCAGTGCTTATATACCACTGGCCATGACCTTGTCAATTTACTTCATTTATGCTGACGTAGTACGCACAATTCCCACAAATCATTGAAGTGACAACTTAAAAAAGTAGATTAGTTACTACATACATATTTCTACATGTAATAATTCAGGACACATTAAATTTATAGAAATGGTAGTTGAATTATATTCGCCTAGTAACCAAAATGGCATACATCCTATTTTGGACTTAAAATAAATGCATCAAAATTATTGTTGATTTATATTCACTTTCTGAACATTCTCATACATCTCAATATACTTTAAACATCAACAATGCATCCAAATAGCGTGTGACTGTCACACTACACTCACACCAAAAAAATTAACACGCCATGAAAGAGGCTACAGTCAGTTTCAAGGTCATGATGAGTTCCTGCGTCTGCTGGTTATATGTTTTCGTGAATTCGATTTCTATTGAATTTTAAAGGTGTTTTTGCATGTTTTTCTCATTTTGCAGTGTGTAGATCAGTTTATGACACTGGATACTACTATTAAGGTGAATTTTAGCCTATAGTTCCCAGTTTGACTGCATAGTCGTTGTGCATTTGACGGCATTTAGCCACAGACACCTCACATTTTGAGTTTTGTATATTATATATCTATTTTTATGTAATAAAGTACCGTATTGCAGAATATCCTGTATTTTGGACTTTACGCGTCACTCTACGTGTGGTTAAATCTATAGTTTGGATTATCGTTTCGGATTTCTTTCGGGAGAAATTCACAGTACTCAAAATTGGTCTTGTTGATCTATTTGGACGATTATCAATGCCGGTTACTCGTAATATGTCTGGAAAACTGGAAAACGCTGAAGAATATCTCCGAGTCAATTTATCTTCACCGCAAGTTTCTTCTTTACCTGTTTCCTTATCTGTTTCTGATAATTTTAAACACACCCCTCATGTCAGCCCAGGTTTTGATAATATTGCTATGGGAGGTAGTGTAGTAGTAGACTCCGATGTTGATTCTGATGTGGCTACCGAATTAGAGATCTTACAGCTTAAGGTTCAAGAGCTTAGACTTCGCAGCAAACAACGAAAATTGAAGAGCGAGCGCTCTCAACAAGTCAAAACTGCAGCTAGCTGCGTTCGATTTTGCGCCAATCCCTCGGAAAGCCAACTCCTAGACGGTAGCACTATGTATTGTACAGCACAACCATCAGGGTCAAATTGTACTGCCACTCCAGTCCAACCACTCCTGAACTCAGTTAGCCCCATTAGAATGCCTCAAATTGAGATGGATAAGTTCGATGGTACACCAACTAAGTTCTTGAAGTTTATAAGATGCTTTAACATGTTCATAGGAGAACAAACTAATGGTGACAACCTTCGGTTAATGCATCTTATACACAATTGTGTTGGTATAGCCAAGGAGGCCATAGAGCATTGCATTCTACTGCCCTCTGAGGTAGGCTATAGGAAAGCCATGGGGATTTTACGAAGTCAATTTGGCCAACCTCATGCAGTTTCAGATGCCTTCCTCTCCGAATTACTGTCAGGCCCACAGCTGCAACCTGAAGATATAGTTGGGCTACAACGGTTGTTGAGACAGATGACCGATTGTGAGATAGCCTTATCTCAGATGAATCACATGGCAGGCTTGGACTGCTCTACCAACCTTAAGTGCATTGTTCAACGTCTCCCTCGGCACCTACGATGGAAGTGGGCAGAATTGGTAAACGATGGTTTACAGTTTGCTGAACCTAGCTTTCGTTACCCCAAAGAATTCCTCGAAAGGCAACTGTCCTTGGCTACAAGCTGTTACGGCCAGATAGCTAATGGGAATAGGAACAACAACGAAGTAGGGTCCAACGATAAAATGTCCAGAGCTATGCCTTCGCACAGTGTTAATGTAGTGAAGTCACGAGCCCAGAAGTCGTGCATAGTTTGCTTCACAGACCACGACTTATAGGAATGTCAACGCTTTTTGTCGATGAGTCACAAAGAGAGACTAGCAGTGTCAATGCGGCATAAGGTGTGCTTCAACTGTTTGAAACTTAATCACCGAGCTGACACTTGTCGTGCAGCAAGAGGTTGCGATATAGTAGGATGCACTAGACGTCATCATAAACTTCTACACAATGGAGATAATTCAGCATGCAAGACGGTTAACTACTCTAGCACGGAATCCAGAACTTCCTTTTTAGGATATGTGCCGATTCGTATCTTAGGTCCTAAAGGATTTCTATATACCTATGCCTTTCTTGACAATGGTTCAGATGCTACACTACTGCTGAGTCATGCTGCCCGCCAAATAGGACTGGAAGGGGTTAATACATTGATGCAGGTAACATCTTTCTGTGGAACTACTTCTCAGAATTCATCTAAGGTTGATTTCGAAGTTGAATCCTTAACTGGAGATTACAAGACGAGGGTCAAGAGTGCCTATACCGTGGAAAGCTTACCTGTAAAGAGACCTAAGACTCCTTCAAACGAACAGATGAAAAAATGGCCTCACCTGGCAGAAATTCCCTTTCTAGACGTCGAATGTAAACAGGTCAGTCTACTAATTGGGACTAATGTACCTGAAGCACACTGGGTGCTGGAGCAGCATATAGGGAAATCCAACCAACCGTTTGCATCTTTGTCAGTTTTTGGTTGGTATTTATTGGGTTCAGGAAACGAATATAAAGAAGCAACCTCTATCTTCTGCTTAGAGGAAAGTGAATCAGTAGAGAACAAGCATTAAAAAAAAAAAAAAAAAAAAAAAAAAAAAAAAAAAACATGCGAAAGGTCCAGTTCTGAAATAGATAAAGGAATTCTGAAGCCAACCGATAGGGAGATAAGAATGCGGAACGGACATTATGAAGTTCCATTGACTTTGAAAGAGGACTGGCGTAGATTACCGCCTAATAGGTTTGAGGCAGAACGCAGACTGGACAGTCTTCAGAAGAAACTAAAAAGGGACAAAAGCCTATTAAAGTCCTACAATCAAATACTAACAGACCATGAGCTGAAGGGTTATATTAGTCGCGTTCCTGACGACTTCTCCAAGAAACGTAGATTTATCCCTCACCACCCAGTTATAAATCCCCGCAAGTCTGGTAAAACTAGAGTGGTTTTCGATTGTGCCTTTAAATGTAAGGGAATGTTCTTGAACGATTGTCTGTTTTCGGGACCTGATCTGATGAATGACTTGGCTGTGGTACTATTGAGGTTTAGAAAACATCGGATAGCCTTGTCAGCAGATATTGAGGAGATGTTTCTTCAGGTTCACTTACCTGTCAAGGATAAAAGTGCCTTTTGTTTCTTATGGTATTCTGAGGGTAGACTGGACTTACCACCGAGCCTGTATGAATTAAACGTACATCCCTTCGGTGCTACCTCATCACCTTTTTGCGCAGCCTATGCTTTAAAACGAGCCACAAGACGATGGAAACAAGGGCAACTCCTTGTCGATACGTTTTGGAGACGGTGGAAGCGGGAGTACTTGACGACCTTACAATCGCGTTCAACGACATCGAAACTTACAAGTGGGAGACCTAGTACTAGTGGCTACGGAGCCTTCACCTCGCAATCATTGGTCAATGAGAATAATTACAGGTGTTACGGCAAGCTGCGATGAGTATATCAGAAAAGTGGATATCAAGACACCGAGGGGTATAGTCAACCGAGATGTGCGTAGGGTTTGCCTATTAGAAGGTATTGAGGAGAGATAAGCACTTTGTAGGATATATAGCTGGATAGTGGATACAGATGTGGCGAGAGTAAATTGTACCATTTCTGTGTCTTACTAGCAGGTAGAGTAGGGAAAACCAGGCTGGTTTTGAGGGGGCGGTGTTAATTCCTTTCCTACCTGTTCGTTCTCAATCTTTCCTTTGTTCAACATTATACTACGTGCCATTAGTAAGTAGTATGATTTTTAAATGTTAATTTATAACAATGACATTTGCTTACAACTGCAGTTAAATTACTTGTTCTATTATCATTCTATTGATGTATAGTTCTTATTTTTCTTCTCCTTAAACATCATTTGCTGCATTTACCCTATAGTGTATGCTTTACTTATGAAAGTTGTTTGTTCATATATGTTTATTCTTTGCTTGGCATTCGCGGGCCGTTTGAACCGACGCATGGATCGACCTTGACACA